TCTTAATAGGTGGCATTTCACAATAAATGCTTTTTATTTTGATGAAATCCATTAAAGATTTTAAGAAATATTTACCTAATTCAAGGTCACAAAGATTTTTCCCCTATGTTTTCTTTGAAGAGGTTCTACTTTTAGCACTTATGTTTGTCTACACATTTTTTTCTGTTACATTTTAAGTTAATTTATATGTAAAGTAAGGGGTGACGTTCTTTTTCTTTTTGGATATGGATAACCAATTTTTCATCATCATTTGTGAAAAAGATCATTTTTCTCCCTGGACATATCTTGACATCTTTTCAAAAATCAAATTGATCATATATGTTTCAGTCTCTTTCTGGACTCTGTCATATTCCATTGGTTTATATGAGTCTATCCTTAAACAAATAACAAGCTATCCTAATGAATGCAATTTTATATTAAGTCTTGTTTTTTTCCTCAAAGTTGTTTTAATTATTCAGGATATTTACAGTTTCACTTAAATTTTAGAATCAGGTTGTCAATTTCTCTTTTGTTCTTTAATTAAAAAAATATAGAGTCTCCCTATGTTGCCCAGGCTGGTCTTGAACTCCTAGGCTTAAGTGATTCTCCCACCTGAGCTTTCCAAAGTGCTGAGATTTTAGGTGAGAGTCACCATGCATGGCCAGCTTGCCAATTTCTTTAAAAAAGAAAAAAAAAAAAGCATGCTAGGATTTTGGATAGGACTGCTTTGAACCTCAGATCAATTCTGGAGAAAACTGACATCTTAATAATGTTGAGTCTTCCAATCCATGAGCATGGTATAGTACAACTCTCCATTTTTAAGTTTTAATTCTCCAAAACAGTTATACAGTTTTCAGTGAGGTCTTATAAATACATTTTCAAATTTATCTATATGTATTTATTTTTTAGTAGTATTTAAACACTGGTTTTAATTTCAATTTCTGATTGTTCATTGCTAATACGCAGGGTTTTTGAGTTTTATATACTGACTCAGTATGCTATGAACAGCTAAACTCATTTATTAGTTCTAACAGTTATTGTTTTTTATTTTTCCTCATAGATTCTCTGGGAGTCTCTACATAAACAGTCAAGTATGTATGCTAAAAAAAAAACTATTTAATTTCTTCCTTTCCAATCAGGATGATCTGCAGTTCCCATTTTTTGAAATGCCTTTGTATGCATTTGGTATTCAAGTAATGCTGGTCTCATATAATGTTTTTAGCAATTTAACCTCCTTTTCTATTTTTTGCAAGTGTTTGTGTAGAAATGGTATTATTTCTTCATTAAACATTTGATAGAAGTCATCTGAACTACAAGTTTGCTCTGAGGTAAGGTCTTTTACTACAATTCAGTTTCCTTTGTAGCGCTATTAAGGTTAACCGTTTCTTCATTAGTGCGATTTGACAGTTTATGTCTTTCAAGGAATCTATTTCATCTATGTTGTCTAATTTAGTAGCATAAATTTGTTTATAATATTTCTTTATTTTTCTTTTAATGTCTGCAGTATCTGTAGTGATACACCATCCTTTATTCTTGATACTGTTAATTTGTGTCTTCCCTTTCTGCATAAGTCTTTGCTATATGTTTACTATTAATACATTTATTAATCTTATCAAGATACAGCTTTTCATTGCGTTGATTTTTTCTCTATCGTTTACTTTTATTAATTTTTTCTTTCTTCAGCTTACTCTGGCCACATATGCTCCTCTTTTTCCCTACGTTCTTCAGAATGAAGCTCAGATCATTGATTTTAGGCAATGACCGTACCCCCTTCCCCCTTCCCATCTCCTTTCTTAAACAAAATCACTTAATGCTATAACTCTACACTTGGCACCTCATCACCTTCATGTTAAACATTTCTATAGGTTGTGCTATTATTTTCAATTAGTATAAAATTTCTAATGTCCCTTGTAATTTCATCTTTGGCCCATGTTTTATGCAGAAGTGTGTTAATTTCCAAATACTCAGAGACTTTCCAAAAATCTCTCTATAACTAATTTCTGGTCTGTAATTAACCAGAGATCCAAGATCTCAATCTTTCTTAACATTTTAAGACTTTTTTTTAGGGCTGAATATGGTCAATGTGATGAATGTTCTATGTGTATTTAAAATGAATGTATTTTGTGTAGTTGGCTAAAATGTTTTATACATGTGATACAGATCAAGGTGGTTGATAATGTTGCAGTCTTCAGTATGCTTACTGATTTTTTGTCTACCCGTTCTCTACTGACATAACAGGGAGAGGAGGTCTATATTTTATTCCACTTCTATCCATTTTTGTCTTATGAATTTTGAAGCTCTATTTTTAGATGTATGTAAATTGGAAGATCATTTTCATGAATTGGCTTTTATCATTATGGTATGTCTCTTTTTCCTTTGCTAATATAATGCTTTGTTTGGTAATTGTTATGGGTTGAATTATAACTCCTTAAACGTCATATGTTGAAGACCTAACTCCCAGTACCTCAGAATGTAACAATTCTGAGAGAAAATATTTTAAGAGGTAATCAAGTTAAAATAAAGTCATTAGTGTGGGCCCAAGTCCAATATGACTGGTGTCTTTCTAAAAGGGAGAAACCTGGTACAGAGACATACATAGAGGGAAAACAATATAAAGAGACATAGAGAGAAGACAGGCATCTTAAAACCAGTGACAGAGGCCTAGAACAGATCCTCCTTCCCTCATAGCTCTCAGAAGGAACAAACACTGATGAAAATTTGATTTTCATCAGACTTCTAGCCTCCAAAACATTTCTGTTGTTTAAGCTACCCAATTTCTGGTACTTTATTATGACAGCCCTAAAAACTAATATAGTAATGATATGCCTTGCTGGCTGTTTTTATTAAGGTAGTGTTTTCATGGTATACTTTTTCCTCTCCATTTGCCTTTAACCTACACATGTATTTATATTTATTTAGTTAATTATTTAGAGACAGAGTCTCACTCTCTTGCCCCGGTGGAGTACAGTGGTGCAATCTTGGCTCATTGCAACCTCTACCTCCCAGGTTCAAGCAATTCTCCTCCCTTAGCCTCCTGAGTAACTGGGATTACAGGCACGTGCCACCATGTCTAGATAATTTTTGTATTTTTAGTAGAGACAGGGTTTCACCATGTTGGTCAGGTTGGTCTTGAACTCCTGACCTCGTGATCCATGCACTGTTACAGGCGTAAGCCACCACACCCGGCCAATGTATTTATATTTAAGTGAGTTTCTTGGTTACCAGAGGTAGAGGAGTAGGGGAAATGGGGAGATGTGGTCAAAGTATACAAGGTTTTCATTATAAGATGAATAAGTTCTTGGAATCTAATGTTTAATATGAAAATTATAGTTCATAATATTAAATTGCATATTTAAATTGCTAAGAGAGTAGATCTTAAATGTTCTCACCACACAAACAAAGGTAACTGTGAGGTGATAGACATGTTAATTAACTTGAATGTAGTAATCATTTAACAATGTACATAATATATCAACTCATCATGTGGTAGACCTTAAATATATTGTAATATATATTTGTCAATTATAACTCAAAAAAGTTGGAACAAATTACCTACTGAAAAAGAAAAAAAAAAGAGTGGATTTCTTCAGGGCAGCATATAAATGAGTATTGCTTTTTTATGCAATTTGATTTTTTCCTCCTTTAAATAGCATTGTTTAGGCAAATAGTACTTGAAGGTAGCATAATATTTTTTATTATATTATTTTATAAATAAAACATTGGTCATAAAACTTGAAATAAAAAAATACACAAATAATTTTACCACAACATTTTTTATAATAATGTAAAAGTGGAAATAAAGCAAATTTTCACCAATGAGGAGAATTATGCAATTTTGGTATATTCATATTTCAGACCACTAGCAACCAACAAAGATTATGGTGTTTTTTATCTTTTACACATCATGAAATGGCTAATTTGAGCAACTTAATATATGCATTACTCCACAAATTTATCATTTTTTGTAATCTACTCTCCGAAACTTTTAAGAAAACAATCCACTGTTATTAACTATAGTCACTATGCTGTAAGATAGATCTCTTAACTTATTCTTCCAATCTAACTAAAATTTTATATCCTTTGACCAACATCTTCCCAGTCATCCCACCCTTAACCTCTCACCCTTGGTGGCCACCATTCTACTGTCTACTTCTGAGTCCAACTTTCTTAGATTTCACATATTTGATCATACAGTATTTGTCTTTCTGTGTCTTGCTTATTTTACTTAACAGAATGCCCTCTGGTTCATCCATGTTGTTGTAAATAACAAGATTTCCTTCTTTTTAAAGACTCAGTAGCATTCCTCTGTGTGTGTGTGTGTGTGTGTGTGTGTGACCAGATTTTCTTTATTCATCTGCTGATATACACTTAGGTTGATTTCTGTATCTTGGCTATTGGGAGTAATGCTGCAATGAAAACAGGAGTGCAGATATCTCTTTGACATTCTGTTTTCATTTCAGTTAGATAGATACCCACTAGTGGGATTGCTGGATCATGTAGCATTTCTGTTGATACATGCATGTGTGTACCACTATGATATATATGATAACATATGTGTGTATATTTAAAATACACACACGTATACCATTATGATATATATATTTTATATATGTATATTTGAAAAGAATAGCAACTATATCTACATATATACATATACATATCTTTCTTAAAAGGTTAGTATTTAGACTTTCCACCAAAGAGATAAAAAGTAAATCTTACAAAATACATCTTCCTTGGGGTAAGGTTAGGCAATCTTTTATTTAATGATTATTTGCTAAGTATATAGTCTGCTAGACACTATGCCATATGCTAGGGAAAACAGTATATTATAATGCAGTTTAGTCAAAAGAAAATTTAATACACTAATAATCATTATTTACTATGAAACAAAACAAAGTTATAAATTTCAAAATGAGTGAGAACATTAATATAAATTAATGTTAATAAGATGTTAATACTAATTAATTAATATGACTATTAAGACAGATTGCTTTCCCTATATTTCTCATATAAAATAGTACCTGGTTTGAGGCAATCCAAAACTCGTTCCAATGCCAACACGAGGTAGACAGTTAACCACTTTCTTTACTATTGCAGGGTCTGGGAAGTTGAACATTACAGCAACTACAGCAAATAATTTAAAAAATTAGAACACAGTATAGTTTCCTTTCTGGAAAACTGACTCACTGGTCCAATAAAATATTTACTTTTAATTCAGGTATCTATTAAATATAATTTTTACTACATTCCTTTTATTATAGTATATATCAGGATTTAGTATTAATATGCTAGTGGTAATATTCGTTTCACTTAAAAACTCCTTTACCACAGACAGTTCCTTCCTAAATACTATTAGGAGTTATAACAATTGATGTTGCATTGATGTGACATGAAGCTGAGATTATGAAACATGATAATAATAATGATAATGACAGCTGAGATAATGTGACATGAAGCTGCAACTGTAAATTTACAAAATTGAATTTTGGCAAGCCAAAGGTAGTTACAACAATTTCTAGAAACAAACATTAAAACATTTAAGTTTATATAGTTAAACAACACCAAAAAACTACCAATATACCTATAAAATAATCAGTTACTTTTTTTTCCAATCATTAAGTTTTAAAACAGCTTTTTATAATGTGTATATGTTTATTCTTCATATGTTCAGATGAGCACATGTTCATATAATACAAAACAATGTGTGACCTGAAGGAAAAGTTTTCCTCTGTGGTTAGAAATCAAATTTAAATGTTTTCTCATCCTATTTCAATAATTACACATACAAGAGAATACCAAGAAGTACATGTCAATATGTAAACATATTTAGCATATAAATGTTAATTTATCAGAGTAATCTATAAATTTTTACCCATCTTAAAGAACATGAAAGTAAAATCATACAATTATGAGAGAGAGTTTAGAAGATATTCATTGGGTCAGTCAGAATATATATATTCTAATATATTCTAATATGTATTCTATATGTAGAATATATATATGATCTATATATATAGAAAAAAATATATTTTTATCTGTGTGTGTGTGTGTGTGTGTGTGTAGCCTTTAAATAAGCCACCTTTACATATTCACTATTACACTGAATTCAGGGGGAAAAAGTAAGTGGAAGATAAAACCATCATAGGTTATAGCAGATGGTCAAGGCCATGAGGCAAAGGCTACAGAAAACACATATAAAAACAAGTATGCATAAGAAATTTCAAAGAAGAAAATGAATGAGGATGAGCAAGTAATAAGTATTGTAAGACTAAAGCCCCTTTGGGACAGCAAGGATGTGGAATGAACTAAAGTGTGAAACATTCTCTTGATTATTTGCCCAGAAGAATAATGTTTACATTAGAAGACGAGGTATGTGCCAGGAGGAGATCAAAAAGGAAAGAGAAAAATCTTTTCCTAAAGAAATTTGTATTCCCTAAAGACAGGTAATTTCACAAAGGAAAAACAAAATGTCTGTGTGGAATACATGCAGTTATGTGTAGCTTTAAAAGTAAGAAACCATCAATCCGTGTATATATAATAACAGGAATATGTACAATAAATCAGTAGGTTTTACATATATAACATTGTATGCCTCCACTCATAACAAATGATGCTTTTCCTTCAAGTTCAACTTGTCTCCCCGCTTCTTGTCTTAACGGATTTCACCAAGTTCCGTTGTAAAACTGCAAATTAAATTTTAGTTCGACTTTCAAGGATGATTTAATACAGATCAAACAGGACAGATCAGTATCATTTTCTCACGGTTCCTTTATAAAAGCAATATATCAGACAAAAGATTAAGTAGATGTATGAATCTTTTAATCGTCCATTCCTCTCCCAAAATGCAGACACCTTCCGTTAGGAATGTAAGCATCAGAGCAATGCTCAGGACATCAAAACTCCTCTTTGACCTGATTAAATGGTTTTGTATTCCTTATGTTTATAAAGTCTTTTACCAATTTGATATGGCCACAAAATATTACAAATGATTTGACTAATAATCAAGGTGGGAAAAATCATGAAGAAGCATTTAGTTCAAAAAAAGAGGCCACTAGAACAGAGGGTGGGCTACAAAGTACTATCTAAATTGAAGCAATATGGTTATGTTCAAAAATGCTATCTTAAAGAGATGAAAGTTCGCTTTGTAACAATGTACTTCTGTAATATATTACCTCTGTTTGCCATAAAGATCTCCAGGGCTGTATTTTGCAAAAGATAACGACGAGAAAAGATTGATCGTATCTCTGTGAACAGCCATTTTCCATGCAACCCTTCTGTATACGCCAGGATCTAATGAGGAAAAAAATAATCCCAGGTAAATGACAATATTCATTTTTTGTTGTTGCTTCTCTCCCCAGTCAAAATAGAAAATACCCTTTTATGAAAAATAATTTAATAGTTATTTACGTAATTTGGAGATTAAGAAAATCAATTGTAATTTATGGAAAAGAAGTTTAAATTAAAAAAGCAAAGTAAAATGATAAAACATTTAAGTATATATTTGGGCTTTTAAAAACAATGATGTAATCTACTGCTTCTGAGGAAATACATATTGCATCATTTACTGATTGATTTTTTAAACCACACTATGAAAGTAAAACTTCAGATAAAATCTTAGAAATAAAGACCTCAAAAGAATGTCATATATGCTTATAAATCACATACACAATTCAGTTTCACATGACTATAATTTGCCCAATAGTGCTTTACATACATTATAATATAAATATATTCAGTTCATAACTTTAAAAAGAATGACTCTTTTAAGGTCACTGTTAAGGCAACAGTCACTCACTCAGAAAGCACAAAGACCCGACTATATAAGAGGTTAAGTATCATTTTGTCAGCTAAAGCTAAACACAAACCTGCAAATGAACTCAGCATAATCTCTCTATGGGGTAGGTGGTTGTCAGAGTAACTTGTTACAATTCTTGTCATCCCAAGTGACAGACACAGTTGCTTAAAATGCTTTGCCAATTCAAAGTAATCCTGCCTTTAGTCCTAAGCCACTTTGTTGCTTTGTTATTCAAGTTTTGTTTTTTAAAAAGTTCATTTCAAAGGCTTAATTGTGAAAGTGTTCAAGGAAAACCAGACTCAGCATTTCTCTACACCAGTACTATACATAATATTAACAAAGGTTGCTATCAAAACCTGATAGTCTATGAAAGCAAATTAAGTTAAAAAAAATTAAGATATATCTCTCAAAAGTAACCACCATTAAAAATTACAAATGAAACATTTGATTATGATATTGCATTGCAGGAATAAAGTTGGGATGTGCAAAGAGGAAAAATAACAACTAGTAAAAATTTATCCTTCTCAAACTGTTTTTTCTTTATTCATTTTCATTTTCAAAATCCTAATGGCAAATAAATCTACATTCTTCAATGCAAAATGTATTTTTGAAAAAACAAAAGTAACAATCCTTATTTAAGTCAGTAAGTATGTATTTCAATCTTTCTACAAAAATGATTATATTTCTGACACCACAGAATCTAGAAACAGAAAGAATGGGTATAACTCTAACGGGGAGTGTTTTTTGAAAATACAAAACAAAAAGTTCAATGGACAAGATAATCATGCATGCAGTTTTGAAATGGATCACAGAGAAATCCTACTAATTCAGTAACATAATCAATACCTATGTAAAATCAAGGTAAATGAGCAGGAAAAGAGAGGACAAAAATAGTAATATTACTCTCAGAGACTGCAGGTATCCCTTTCTTGCACTATGACCAGAGATACCACCAGGTGGTCCATGGCCTCAGAGTCTTCAAAGGGCTCCATTTGTTCTTTCTCCTATTCTTACCTCTGAAGTCTACTATGACCAGATTTTAAAATACAAATCAGATCACATCATTCCTATAATTCATTGTATCCAGTGACTTCCCATGACATGTAAAATAAACTCTTAAGCTCTTTATAATTGCTAATAAAGCCTCGTATCTGGGACTGCCTGTGAGCTCAACTCATTCTTCCTCAGGGTCTTGTTTTGTCCTTGTTTTCCACCCTGCCTGGAATGTTCTCCCAAATCTCCACATGGTTCGCTCATTCTCACATTTAGATTTCTCCTCTTATGTCACCTCTGCAGGGAAGCCACAGGGTTTAAACCCCACTTCCTCTATTAACAACTCATCCCAACCCTAACTCATGAGATTTTCTTCCTAACACTTAACACTACCTGAAATTTTTAAGAGTTAATTTAATTTTTGAGACAGGGTCTTGCTCTGTGACCCAGGCTGGAGTGCACTGATGTGATCATGGCTCACTGCAGCCTCAACCTCCTAGGCTTACCTGATCCTCCCAGCTCAGCCTCTTGAGTAGCTGGGACTACAAGCACATGCCACTACATCTTGCTAACTTTTAACTTTTTTTTTTTTGTAGAGACAAGTTTTCACTATGTTGCCCAGATTGGTCTTGAACTCCTGGGCTCAAGTGATCCTCCTGCCTCAGCCTTCCAAAGTGCTGGGATTATAGGTGTGGGCCACTATATCTTGCCACTACCTGAAACTATAATATTTGCTTGCTGGTCTATTGTCTCTTCAGCATTAGAATACTAGAATCTAAGTTCTATTGGAGAAAATACTTTGAATACATCCTATTAACATTGCCTAGAAAAATATCTGGCACAAAGTTGCAATTTTCAGAATGACTAAATGAATCAATGTATGGCAACCTACACTCCATATCTGACCCACATGATATTTTAACAAAATTTCACATGCTTGAAAATAGTTGAGAAAACAGATATTTGTAAAAATATTTGGATTCCCATCTTCTCAAGAAAAACTGGGGTATCCAGCAAACCTGGATCTATATGCCACATGGTAATAACTGGCATGCACTCTCTATTTTGGTACTACTTCACTTATTACTATTCATTAGTGTGATGTCAGCACTCACTCATTTACTATTATCTACCTAGTTTCCATTGGTATTGAGTTTGCTACCCTAGATTTACCAAATATTAGAGAATCAAATATATGTTCTGCAACATTTATAGTCCAATTTATACAAAAGAAAAACAAAAGCCAGGGACAGTAGCTTACAGTGGTAATTCCTGAGCTTTGGGAGGCCAAGGTAGGAGGACTGTTTGAGGTCTGGCAACACAGCAAGACCCATCTCTACAAAAAATTAAATAATTAGCTGGGCATGGTAGCCCACACCTGTAGCCCTAGCTACTCAGAAGGCTGAGATTCGAACATCACTTGAGCCCAGGAAATTGATGGTGCAGTAAGCTATGATTGCACCACTGCACTCCAGCCTGGGCAACAATAGGAGACCGTGTCACTAAAAAAGAAAACAAAGAACAATGAGGCCTAGACATGTTAAATATTTGATACAAAATTCCCTAGCAAGTTAGTGGCAGAATCTAATCTAGTCCCAGGTTATCTAATTCAAAAATACAGAGCTTCCATTGTGTATACCTCACTGTCACATTTCTAAGAAAGAGTTAAATATCTGTTAAACTAGAATCCAACTAACTACATTTGCTTAAAATTTTCCTGCACTTGGGTAAAAGAGAAAAAGGAAAATCAAAGGAAAACCAACAACAAAAAATCTTTTAAGCTCTTTGATATGTTAGGAATATTACACATTGGTCTGAAAATTCTACCTTTTGTATCTATAGAGATATATAATAAGACCTGTTGTGCATAATAGTGCATCCAATCATTGCAAAATCATGATCGTACAACTAAAGATTTGATCATATTCTAGATTACACTATTATTAGCAGAAATTAGTATATCAAAGCATTTTTATTAGATTTTTAATGTACTGAAACGGTTTTCTGATTAAGCAAAATTGCCACTTATATTCCATTCCCTTAAACAGTATAGTTATTCAAAGATCTACTTGAAACACAGTAAATGTCATAGTCCTTTAAAATTTGTTTTATTCCAATGTCAAAAATACTTAAAAGTAAGGAAAATGACACAAGGTCCATGCATCTACTACTCAGTAACCTTATAAAATCATAACACATTGCCATATTATTGTATACATCTATAAGAAATTGATAAATGCATTAGAGACAGTCTTAAAATTGACATGCATAACCCTTCTTGATCCCATTTTCCTCCTCTGTCACAGCCAATCACTATCCTTGTTTTCAGGGTTATCATCTGCATGGAAGTTTTTATACTATTAGTACATATATATCCATAAATAACATAACCACATCACTTTGTATGTTTTCAAAGCTGATATAAATGTTATCATACTAAATGTATAACAGTATGCTTTTCAAGCTAAATATGACAGTTTAATGAAGTTTTAAAACTTAGAGAAGGAAAAACAGCATGAGATGGAAAATTATTTAAAATTGCCAAAGGTGTCAAAAATCAAAATCTTACACACACAAAATAGCTAGCCTAATCTTTTAAAAGAAAAAAATTAAATAAAATCCCACAATTAGGGTCAAAAAATTTGAGATTTGAAATAGAAACTAGCAATCTCTTAACTAAAGCATTACCAGCTGAAATTTATATAATAATATTTCTTTAAGTATTCATTTGGGAAAGGTGTCAGTACTGAAATGCAGCTGAGGCCTAGCTAAGCAAGGGGTTCATTTCTGATTGGAATAGTATATGCCTGGTCTGAGGCTTCACTTCAAAGTCTCTAGAGTTCAATTAAAACTGGATTAGGTAGAAACAGACTCTTCTTTGGGACTTTCTGTTCACTGAAACTCTACACACACTGACAGCACCTTAGACAGAGGTCTAGCCCTCCAATGAATCAGTTGCCATAGAAACCGTATCATTACCATTGCTCTGAAGTTATGACCTCAACTCCAGAATAGCCTGAAATCTTTACTCTCTTTGAATCTTTACCACCTTTTTTTATTATTGTTAGTATTATTAGTAAATTAAACTTTCAATTGTTTTAAATAATTTGTTTCAAAGCTGGTTTATTAACTAAATGTTGACAGTGTGTTAGGAGAGAAAGGACTTAGTATTTTATATATATATATTATATACAGACATATTCTATTTCTTTACTTTAAAAAACTTAAACCTATCTTCTTTAACAGTTTTATCTGAAAACTATGCCTTCTGAAAAGGATATATTATTTTTCCCAAATAATGCACATATTTCTTCCTTCTGTCCTACAAATAGTGTGCTATGAACACATAAGAAAATTTCTTCACTTTGTTGCACTTATTCTTAGTAGAGGAAGGCATTTTTGACTTTCCCTATACCAGTCCATTTGTAAAAGCTTATAAATTTATCCAAATAAAACTCTCTTTTGTTTTCTTATCCTCACGAAAGAACAAAAACAGAAAGCT